TGACAGTAAATCACGCCCACAACTTTAGAAGCTACATAAACTCTCATTTCTCAAACATTTGACACTTGCCTTCACTGCTTAACAGAATGCGATTCCCAATCGCAAATTGTTAGTTGTCTTTTACTTGTTAGTCTGCTAATTTCTACCCGAATCACAATTTATGTCTTGATAAGTCTTAGATTCTCATTCAAGTAATTTTTTCATTATTCTTTTTTTTAATTTGTTGTTTTTTTAAAACTTATTATACACCTGTGAATTGTGATTTGGATTTAAAAAATGACTATTTGTGTGCCTAGGTGATTACTGAACTTGTTTGTTGTTTAGAAAGAACGAATGATAGAGCGTATTGATTGTATGAAAACGTTAAAATTTCCTACCTAGAACTACTACATTCTACTTTCGTAAAGTCGTTAGAGAATAAAATTTGACAATTTTCAATAAATATAAACTCTATCATTCTTTATACATTTAAACATATCATGTTCAATCCTTGTTTTTCATCTCACCAGTAGGATGAAAGGAGTTTTAACCAAACTATTATAGCAGAATGTGATTCTATCTTTACCAACCATTATATGACAATATAAAAGACAAACAAAAAAAAGTAAATAAAAAGGAAGAAATATATATTCGTCCTATTAACATGTTTTAGCAACCAATTTTGAAAATAATTTATTCACAGGGTTTCGTGGGAAAGATGAATGTAATTTAATATTTAACATTATTAGTTCTCGTTTAAACTTATATGTTAACTTATTTTAAATATATTATTATAATGTCGATAGCTAAACTGCGGATTAAAACCCAACCAACCCGCAAATTATGGTTCGATTCGAAAAATAAAATTGTTTGGTTTGGTTTGAAAAAATTTCAAACCGCATGAAATGGTTTGAGTTGAAAATATGGCACAAACCGCCCAAACCGAACCGCGTTCACCCCTAGTACACAATATGATCTTGTGAGTAAGTCTTAACTGCATGTGTGAGATTTGGGATGACAGTCATCCGTTGGTAAGGCGACCTTGAACATTGATTGACCTTAATTTAGTAGACCTAAACTCGAGTGCATCCCCTTAAGTAAAATAAAATATTTTATCTTATACTCTTTTTCGAAACCTATTTGACTTGAGTTATTAAGGTCGAGGGGCTTCTCATAACCTAATCCCCTATGGTCAACTAATTTGGAGTCATCAGCCCAAAACTAGTTACATTGGTCATCTTAGCCACTTAATGGAGAATAGTCTACACATAAGATATAAAAAATTAAAGAGAAAAATAATGAGCTTAAAAAGAAAAATATAAATTGTGTGAAAATGTATATATGCTCAAAGTTAGGGGAGAAAAGAATATTTTTTCGTGAAAAATGAGCTGTATTTAATGGTCCTAATATGCATTATTGGTTTGACTTTCGTTAGTAGATGAATAACTTATTTCATAGTGATGTTTAGCATGTCATTTCTCACAAATATAAGGTTTGGAGTCTTGATCATAAGGAATTAGTAGCACTTAACACACATGAATCACTTATACAATTTACTCCATTTAGATTTGAATTGAGTACGTGAGAAAGTTTACTGATCATTGATTATGCTTGTGCATGCTTTCAACTGCATCTTTGAGTTAGTTATATATATATATGGTATGTGGTTGAATTTATAAATAACTGTATCAAATGTTTGTATTCCTATTACTGTTTCACGTACATTTGGTATTTGAGTTTTTTTTGGACAAAGGAAAAGTAAGATTCAGTTGAGTCGGTTGGTTTTGGGTAGATTAGATTGAATATGTTTGACTTGTACTCAAAGATTGTTAGGTTTTAAAGTAGTTCGCAATCTTTTTTACAAAACTATTGTTGTAAAAGAGGTTTTAAAAGTCAAAATGTCAAGTGATTAGTTAGAAGTCCTAGGGTTCGTGTATGAAATGAGAAGAAAAGTGTCACCGCAATTTCGCTAGCCTATCGTCCAGCTGATGCTCGAGCGGTAAAAACAAAAGTTGTGTCTCTTGCTTGGACTTCTCTCGAGCGACACACAGTAGCTCGCCTATAACCGAGCTATCGCACGAGTGACAGTGTATCCTGAGAAAACCTAATTCAAATTTTTCAAGGTTTTATCCGGCCCATACTACCCAAAACCTCTACACAATATATATGCACACCACCATTCGAAACAAAAAGAAGAGTTGAACATATAGAGAAACAAGTGATTACTTCCTCCATATCATTTCTAGAGTTCAACCTTGTTATTGATTTCATCATTGCATTGAAAAACATCAACCTCACTTAAATCAAACACTAAAACACGTACTTACACCTGTTAGAGTTCTGAATATCAAGGAAAGTGACCGAATTTCTAGTTGTTAGAGAACGAGGAGTTATCATTGATCCACAGGATTTAGACGAGTTTAGAAGGTAGGAAGTTGGTGCAGGAACACGCAATCCAGGAGGACTGTGATGATTACAGTCAGGAGCTCAGAAAGTACTAGAGTTAGTCGAGTTTGACGATACAGTAAGTTGATTCGTTTATAATGGATTATTACTCGCTTGGGCCTAGAGTTTTTACCCAACTACGAGTTTTCTCCGTCATCAATTTTCAAGCATTATTTATTTTTCAATAATTTATTAACTGCGATAATTTAACATAGGTTAGTTTTGCATGTGAATTCATCTCAATTAATTAATAACTATGACTTGTTGCATTTATTAATTGGTAAATTTAAATTTCACATAAACACATTTATTCACCCCCTCTAGGGGTTAAACTTCGTTATTTCATATTGTAATCGCGGAGCAACATCTTCCCTTTCCATCGTTAACTTCTCCTTTCTTATAATATTAAGGGTAAAATCTCACATCTAATAAAAATATAGACTAATTTATAAGGATTTTGATTATTCATTTTAATATAAGGTTGACCTTTTAAAATGGAACTTCAAATATTATCAGAGTCCATTAAATTCTAGCAGCAATTCGATTTGATTAAGACTGAAAAAATGAATACACGAATATCAAGATTGGTTTGCTCAAATGAGCCATCATCTTGCGAGGCTTGTTAAAGGATAAAATTATGCATCTAATAAAGATGAAAATATAGACAATGTATAAGGGTTTGGATTACTCCTTTTAACAAGGTTAACATTTTAAGATTAAGCCCCAAGTCTTAATAGACAAAACGGGAGTTGAAGCTCAATACAGAGCTTCAGAAGTACAAATGGGAAAGTAGATGGTACCACCTGTGTCCAGTGGGCAAAACGTTCTTTGTTGAGGTTTAGTATAGGATAATAGGGACGGAAAGACAATGAATTATAAAAGAATTATTAATGGAACTAGGTCAAGATATTAAAAGAATAAAATTTTACAAAATAATGTTCTTTTTTCAAATTCCATCACCGCTTTAAATAGTATAACTGTAAAGCCTCACCATTTCCTCTAATTATGCACAAAAACTAATCTGTAATCATAAACAGTGAATCAAGAATCAATAAACAAAGATTCAATGAATTTAGAACGTGAGCTGCTCACTTCCAAGATTTGACACAATAAATTCTTTAAACTTGTCAAGAATTAGCATTTTTCTCGTTAGGGACTCATCCGCCTATGAACCCTAATTTCATTGGTTGTTATTCTTAATTTGGGAATTGTTTAGATAAATCTAGATTGAGTTCATTTGAACAATTTTCATATTTTCGGCACANAAGAAAAACCCTAATACAAAGTAAATACCCAAAATACCCTAGTGTGAAATTTCGCCTGTTGTGGCTGGGTGTTCAGTATAGTCAGGCTCCACACAACTCAACAGGAAAGATCGAGATCGAAGAGACTCTATCACGACTTGGACTATGATCTGAAAACCCTCTACTTTAGGACCAAAACCAGCTACAATAATTCCATTATTGGTGGTGAAAGACTCAATTATGATCCGCTTCTCCGTCGGATGAGGTGGTGTTGGAGGAACCGGTTATATGATTTTGTGTCAAGAATTTAAACCAGGAAGTGTGATTGGGAAGTCTGGGAGCGTAATTAAGGCCATTGAGCGCACAGGGACTTGGGTCAATGTACATGACTTGATTCCCGGGGATAAAGAGAAGATCATTGAGATTTTTGATAAGCCAAGGCAAGACCTGGAGGGATGTATCCCAGAGTTTTACCTTGCTCAGGAGACGTTATTCTTGATACATGACCACATTGTCGAGATGGATAGGTGTAATATAGGGTTTAGGGATAATGTTAACAAGGAGTTTAGGCCTTAGCGCGGCGGTGGGAATTGTTAAAAGGTGATAACAAAGCAGGTGGTGCAGTGGGTACACCTGGTTACTAGGCAAAGGAGGGAAGATAATCGAACGAATGAAGATTGAGACTAGTACCCATATCATGATTTTACCCAGAGGTCAAAATTTACCATATTGTGTGGCAACATTGGAAGAGATTGTTCAGGTTTTGATATCTCTTTTCCCTCTGGAGCTTTATGTATTTCTTTGGAAAACCTGTAGTTCGGGTATAGAGAGGATATCATAGATCTTACAAGGTTTCTTAATGTAAAATGTTTGATTCTTAATGCTGATCTTGTTTGGAAAAGACAATTGATAATCCTATGCCATTGAGGGATATGATGTGTAAACATGTAGTCCTGAAAATAAGATTCACTAATTTACTGATGAGCCGACACAAAAGTTATTGAACTACTATTTTTTAGGAAATTATAGCTTTTGAATTCTTGGAACAATCCTTAAATACGCTCGTCACTTATTAAATGAAGTTTTCATGCATTGTTGGCAATTGTATTATATATCCAAAGACATTGCTTAAAATGTGTCTTTTCACTTTTGCATTCTTTTTGCGACTTTTCCAAAAGCTTGAGATTAAGATTCATTTTGCTCTTGTTTCTACTAATCGAAGTCTTGCCTTTGTTTTCAAATGATTTTTTAATTTCGTTAATATAGCGAGGATTTTGTTCTCATCCGTAGGTTGTTGGTGATAAGAATGAAGTGAAAGATTCTATAGCAATAATGTCCACAATCTTGAAAGAGAGCCAACATCACTACGGAAACCATTTCCATAATCGGCTACATTCACCTCAGCCTTTATTCCCTACCAATCATGCTTTAATTCCACACAATAATAGTGCATCAAGAAGATCATCTGTTGAAGGTTCTAGTCTTGGATCAATTTTTTCGGCTGGTTCCAAGAGCAATATCACATCCACTCGTTCATCTGGATATGCCTTTGAATCTGAACCTGCTCCTCTAGCTCAACATTTACAATCATTTTCTGGTGAGGGCATTGTGTTTCGAATACTTTGCCTAGCTGACAAGGTTGATAAGAGTTGTTGGAGATCATGTTCTAAAATGCGTGCAAATGCGCCGCCTAGGCGTCGCGGAGAAAATGCGTCGAATTCAGGGTATGCGCGGAAAATGCGTTTTTGTTCTAATGCGTCGCCTAGGCACGCCTAATCCCGCCTAGGTGGCGCATTATGCTGCCTATTTTTTTTTATTTTTTTATTTTGGTAAAAATCTATTTTTTTATATAAAAATATATTTAATGCCTTAAAAATACGAAACGCATTACGGCTTCGATGCATCGCAATGCATTACGCATTTTAGAACATTGGTTGGAGAGTCGGATGGGACTGTTGATTTGCTCCGAAGTAAAGTCAGTGTTCATGTTAAAGTTGTTGATCCAATTGCTGGTGCAAATGAGCGTATAATTATTATTTCATCTGATGAGGTACATCTCTTTCTCTTAATTTTATGCCTATTTGACACCCATTAATTTATTTTATGGTTTGCTACAAGATCATTTTCAGCCACACATTCACACAATAAAATATTATACATGTATACCAATAAATTTTCCTACTTTTTAACCACACATTCTCTAAAAAATAATATTCAAAACTCATTTTTTTCCAATTAATAATAATCAAACAGGCTCTTTATATGTAGCATAGTTTTAGTTAGTTGTGTTCTTCTAGCAATTTGAGTTTCTACATTTTGTTTCAGGTTTGTGCATTAAATTTGAACATCTTAAGTGTATACTGAGGATTAAGATTAGGCTTTTGTGTTTTCCAAAAGGTCATCTAAGCTGTTTCACTTGTATGTCATTTTTAGGGTCTTGATGATGAGATTTTTCCTGCTCAAGAAGCTTTGTTGCATATTCAAACCCATATTGTTGATCTTGTTACAGGAAAAGAAAATATTATTACTACCTGGTTACTTCTACAATTAGACAAAGCTGGACGCTTACAATTAAAAGATGAAACGTTACCTGAGATGAGGAAAATAACGGGTGCAAACATATAGATCTTGCCTAGAGAATATGCCCCACTAGGTATCTCAGGGTCCGATAAGATTGTACAAGTTTTTCTCTTTATGTACTTGTAAATCCTAGAAGACACGTTTCTATTAGTGATATGCCTGTCTTTCTGACTCCTTAAAGCTACTTGTTTGATGGTCCAAACCATGGAATGTCATATCTATGCTAGAAATGATTTGACGAAAGATCCTGAGAATAGTTCATAGACCAATACAATTATCGCAATCTTAAATTAATTTTTAGATACAGATTGTTGGGAAGATCGGAGCAGCTCGAGAGGCTTTTGTTGAGGTAACATCAAGTGTACATAACCACATGTCTCAAAAGTTGCTTAAAAAGGATCTATTGCCACCTTCTGCTTCATCTATTAGTCCTATAAAGGGTGTTGAGAAAACTGAGGAAGATTCAAGCAAAAAATAACTTCTCTTGAAATTCATGCGGGAAACAGTCCTGTCATTTCAATTCAGAAGAATACACCAACTGCAGAAGCCACTCAGCAAGTTTAAGTAGATATGTATATTATTTTTTTGTGTTCTTGATAAGTACGTTTTACATACTTATTTTATTGTCTAAATATGAGCTATTGTTGATTAATATATTGGAATATAGCTTAATTCTATGCAATTCATGTTTTGCAGGACAAGTGATGAATGTGGCGGAAATAAGGAAAAATAAGTGAAAAATAACCAGAATGGAAGAAAGTAAAAGTTTAAGGACTAAAGTGCAAATACTCAAAAATTATGTCGGGACTCACGATGAAGGTTCGAGAGTGCTAAGGGTCGATTGGAAGCAATAAGAACTCAAAAAGGAATGGAATATTATCAAAATCAATTTCCAATTCGCACAAGATATATTCCAGATTTTTAGCTAAAGATTGTGACCCATTTTTGGCATAGTAAAAGTTCGAATTGGAAAAGAGTTATTTCTAATAAAGTTGTAGCTCATCAAGTTATATTTTTAACACATCTTGAATCATCTAAATCGGATATCAGAAGAGAAAGTTATAACCAAATTACTGACTATTGTGTAGAGACAAAAAATCCGCGCGCAAAATAAACTTTCCTTATTCGATTAGAACTCTTTTGGAAACCAATTTGGACATGATTTTCATCTAATTTCTGACTCTTACAAATACT